GAAGTCTTGACGATGAGGGGCACTGCTTTCTTTGTTCTTGGCTTAATTTCTCGCAGTCGACATGGCTTGAAAGTACTCCGGGAAGCCGGATGGGACTCCGCAGTCGACCAGAAAGGGGACTCGATCGGGCTGAGTTTGCCCACGGACTTCAAAAAGCTGTTCTTGGTAGGTAACACGTCAGCAGTCAAGGCGTCCAAGTATACTGAACTCTGATTGCAGGTCGATTTCCCTTCTCATTCTCGGCCCGTTGAAGCCAAACGCTTGTCTCATGAAAAATTCAAGGCGGCCACGACCGATCCAGATCCTACCAATCAGAAGATCTTGAAACTAATAGTCGACATGGGCAATACAGTTCTATCCAAAAGAGCAGCCACAGATCTTCATAAGTAAGTCGATTAAGTGTTCAAGATCACGGTTATCTCGAGTAGAAACCATGCTGACATATGTGAATCTGTAGCATTAAAGCGAAGGATCCGGATCGATTTCGCCAACCTCATCTATTCCGCAAGACTCTCAGCATCCTCGAGGGTCATCACTATCGACTACCGGCACGACGCTTTGCCCTTGATCTGTTTGACAAGAGCGTATTGCGACGTATCGTGCTGGAAGAAGACTCAGACACTGATTCCGAGACGGCCTCATCGCAAGAATCCGATTGATGGACTGTTTTATGGCTGGACCACCCGTCTTGGGCCTTTGTAACCTTTTACCTCATCCTACGTTAAAATCATCATCGATACATATCTCTTCCTTCCCCTCTCATTGAATGTGAATGATGACGATGGTTACGAGCCACACTATTGCATTCCTGATTTCAAGGCTAGGCATTTTACGCGAGATGCTACGTTTTCTTTCAGAGTACCCCATTCTTGGTATGGCGTTCAGGCATGTCCAGTCATGAGCAATGAAAGATGTCACCATGTTATGTTCTCTTATAATCTTCTGACTACGCCGGATTCCCCTCTGCTTGAGACCAGACTCCAGAACAACTGAGAGAAGTAGTTCAACGGGCGAAGACTTGATCAACAGCTAAGGGCTCACCGGTACTCTTGGCTTCGAGCTCCTCGTCGGCTCACGAAGCGTCTCACAAGCAATTCTGTACATACAAATACACATTCCATCCTTTATGCAAGCATATCCAGCATGAATGAGCTACTACTGAACTTCTGCGATCGTACTTCTAGAACTTTTTCAGTCAAGTATGATGTAGTTTAGCTTTCAATGTCAGACGGGTTGGAACCAAGAGTGAGTGGAGTGACTAAACCTCGGGATGGCCGAGGCCTTATGCCTCCGCAGTCCTTAGCACCCCAACACTGATCTGGTCTAAGCTAGTCATCGATCGCCTCATGCCATCTACACCAGCAATTTATACTGAAGATAGTGAAATATTCAATACTGCTTGCACCGTAAATATTCGGCACACTCACACATTCTGACCATCAACTGGCCCAGTAACAATGGAAAATGACCCAGTGACCTTTTCTCCACACTCTCCACATGATGATAGCACTACCGCCAGCGCCGCAACCACAAGCCCCGACAAGGTCACGACCTCTCAGCCCATCCTAGCACATTCTCTCATACGTTTGATTCAATGCTCGCACTGCTTACGGCCTCTCTGCTCGCCTCTCAGGCTGCCATGTGGGAATACTTTCTGCCGAGCTTGTCTTCCCCCGCTTCATGAGCGGAAGGGAATCACGTATCCGGCAGACAAGGGACGAAAGCAAGGCTTCAGGTGCTACTGGAGAGGGCAGCATAACTGCCATGGGGAACATTGTGTGGGCGACTGTGGGGTCGATGTATTACTGAGCAGGCTCGTGGACGTCTTTGACGAAGTTCTCGCGCATACTGCGGCAGCGTCGGATACGAGCAATGAGGGGGAGGATGGGCTTCGGATGACCTGGAAGGGCTTTAAGGGACAGGAGCCAACGCAGAACTGTGCGGACATTGGCCCCGATGTATTGAGGGGAGTGTACAACTTGGTGAGGCAGGCACGCTTCGACTGCGACGCGACGGAGATTATATACGAGAGAGCGCTCGAAGACTGCTCGGGATATGTTGATCAGTCCAGTGCACTATTTGAGCGATTGAAAGATTCCATTCGGAATGAGCTGGACTGTCAAGTCTGTTACTCGCTAATCACGGACCCGTTGACCACAACCTGTGGCCACACGTTCTGCCGCGGCTGCGTTGCAACGGTTTTAGATCATAGTGATCTCTGTCCTATCTGCCGGCGCAAATTGAACATGTCTTCGACCATAAATTCTGAGCCTGTCAATAAGAGGATATCCGACATTACGCAGCTGTTTTTCTCGGACCAGCTCGCTTCACAGAGGCAGAGTCTGGCTGAGGAGCAGTCTGATTCAGATGCTGGAACTATTCTACCCTTGTTCGTCAATTCTCTATCATTTCCAACTATGCCGACTTTCTTGCGTATTTTTGAACCTCGCTACTGCCTCATGATACGAAGAGTCATGGAGAGCAGAGATCGCAAGTTTGGAATGGTCATGTATAACCGCTTAGGTCGACCTCAAGGACAACTAGGAGCATCCCAATTCATGCAATATGGCACGGTTCTTAGGGTCGAGCGCTTTGAGCCCCTTCCTGGCGGCAGAAGCTTGATTTTTGCCAATGGTGTATCGCGCTTCAAGGTTATCAAATCTCACATAGTGGATGGCTACCATGTTGGCCAAATACAGCGTGTTGACGATATTCCTATCGCAGAAGAGGAGAATCTGGAGTCCTTGGAGACGTCGACCATCTCCCAGCGTTCAACAGAAGCCCGGCCATCCCAGCAGCCACTAGACTCCATGTCAACGCAAGAACTGTTTCAGTTGGGGCTGGATTTTGTACGAAAGCGGCGGGGCGAAGGAGCCAGATGGCTACACCCGCGCGTCTTGATGGCCTACGGAGATATACCTTCAGATCCAGCGCAGTTCCCCTGGTGGCTTGCCTGTGTTTTTCCTGTATCCGAAGAGGAAAAGTACACGCTTCTGTCAGCAACAAGTGTTAGGGAGCGGCTGAAGATCACCGCACAGTGGGCTAGAAGGGCAGAGGCCCGGGAGTGGTACGTTCTCAAGTGCCCTTACCTAGTTCTCAATCAATCTTCTAGAGAGCACTTTATACTCACTTTGACATTTCGGTCAGGTCGACTCCACAATCCTTCGCCTCTCTCTTATGACTAGCCGTCCCACTTCTCGTCTTCGGTCTCATTCCCTTGGCTCTAGGTCCGATAACATCGTCAAAGTCAATGCGCTCTCCAAGTGTTCTCACCTCTTTTTCGCCTTTCTCCTTCTCTGTTTCTGTGTCATTCGGTTCCGCCAACCCTGCTACATATGAAAGCAACCAACGGCGGACTGCGCCGCAAGACGGTGGATCATATCTGTCACAAACCCTCGTCATTGGCATTTTCCTTGCCACCTTTCTCTTTCAGGTTGCAGCCAATTTCGGTCAGATAATGAGAATCAGACGAAGGGAGGCAGTGGATACTAGGCCAAACATAGAGCAACAACCGGAGCCTCCAAGAGCTCCACAAAGGCCACAGGAGGAAGATGAGAGAGAGGCTCAGACACAGACAGCAGATACCGAGTAGAGACTCTGATAGAAAATCTCCTCGCCTGAACGTGCATGCAGGAAAAACTTTGAGATTACAACACATGCCACATCCTTCAATCGCTATTATCTTCACACTTCACCAATGTGACCTAAGCAAGAAACATCCCGAGGCTCGGCCTCACATCCAATCCCATTTTGACTAAAAATGGGTTTGTCTGACGATTAATAACGCATCCTGCACTCTGTGCGTAGCGGTCAGCTAGTGCAAATCAGACATCGTCATGATGTGAGGCTGCTTTGAGATTCTCATTCTTCCATATACTGTTCCATTAGCAGTTCACAGGAATAACAGAACACATCATTCCAGCCAAATCCCACGACCGCCAAATATGGTCGTGCTAATTCTCCATAATCAAACGATTCACTCTTTGAAAAGTCTGTTTATATTTATACGCCAACTGCGGACATTTCTCAAATTTCTGGATGGCTGCGCAAATCTGTTCACTACCGCTTTCTTTCTCGGATCTAGGTTGCAGGAAAATCAAATCAGCTATCGTGTCAATTTTCACACTGGTTGTACAGAATACTGCAGATGAGCAATGGAGCATCCGCAGTGAGGCGATGAGCTTTGTGGCTGGTGCTAGTTGGATATGCAATCGTAGCAAGCAAGCGCCTTGCGTCCGCTCACCGGTTGTGCATCGCCGCCAATGGGAAGAGTCGACAGATCATAGGGATGGTGGAACTTGCTTTACGTTGATGCGAAGTCCTGCGAACCATCATTTACTTGACCTTGTCTTTTTTTGGAGATACCAGTTGGTCTGACTTGTCCAGCGCCACTAGACAGGGTGAGTCTGGAAAAGTGAGTGTTGGGTCACACAGCGCATATTCGACGTTTGAAACGAGAGAGAACGACATAGCAGATTGACACTCAGATTTGGTCTACCTCTGAGTATATCGATGAGCTCTGTATAGGACATAGATAGTCGTGATGATAGGTAGCCTCGTAGGTTAGTAGTAATGGCCATCGATGTACTCACCTTGGGACTTCTGTTTCATCGAAACAATCGCGGGAGTAAGTATGGCAACAGACTCAAGCTGTTCAAGCTGCCTGAGATAAGTGGGCGTGGAGAGGACATGAAGAAAATAGATGTATACTTTGGAAACGACCAAACGAGCAACTCCCTTGGTCATCTGGTCGATCGCTCCTGCAAAGTCAACGTGGGGTTATTGAATGATTGCGATATGCCTGTCCCCAAAGACGAGGAGATTATCTTGTCTTTCCCTTTCATGCACCTTGTCTCTGCCTAAAGTCTTTTCTACCTTACTTTATTTCTAATTTGGCTGAAAACATCTACTTATTAGATGCCATTTTTTAGTCCACTGGTTTGCTTCTTCCTCCTTCCTTCTCTTTACTCCATCATCAACTAACTCTGGTACTAGATACAATGTCTTCAATCACCTCATATGGAGGCCTTTATTCTAGGTCCTTTGCTCAGAAGTAAGTACTCATGCTCCAATTTGTTATTCATCTCTGCTAGCATGTCTTAAGAATCAGAAAGCAAAATAACAGTACTGATGCTTCTGACAGAACTGAAGCTGTGAGTTCCTCCTATCTTCTACGCGAGGATTCCTTACCCCGGCTCATGCTCGCGTAACACTTGACCAGCGACCTTTACCTCCAAATACCAGCCTGCTCGGCGCAGATTATGTTACTATTTTGAAATCAGAATACCAGCAGCTGGTAAGATAGAGAAGACATCGTCTAATTCCTATTCAGCGCATTTGCTAATGAATCTAGCTGCAAGCATCGAATCATCTCAGTGAGTCAACACATCCTACGCTGATTGACGGATCATAAGGCCATATTGCAAGCCCATATACTCATCTGATCACCATACAGAGAAACTGAAAGACTCTCTTTTGGGTGGGGGTCTATCTCAAGAAACTCTTGATGTATGATTGCATACCAGTCGCACAGCCATGTGGTTGCTGACCACTCTCTCCTTCAGATCTTGGTTTACGGAGCAGATCTTCCGTCTCAGTCCTCCGAAGTTTCTCGAGAGCTCCATGAGCAGAAGGATATTGATGGACTGAAGAATCGCTCTGTTACCCAATCCAAGAGCTCCAACGATTATGGAAATGCTTCTTATGAGGTCGGCGAGATCTATGAGGAAGATACTGAAGATGATGGCATCGTTTCTCCAAACAGTGACGAAAAGGATGACTACGAAGAGTCGAGAAGCGCAGATTCTGTTGTTTCTTCCCCGGCAGCTCAACGCACAGTCTTTATTCGCGGCTTACCGGACCGGGTCACTCATCAAGATGTCGTTGATGCAGTGAGAGGCGGTGGTCTGCTGCATCTTTACCTCCGGGCTCGGGATCATGCCGCTTACGTCTCGTTTGTTGAACCAGCTGCCGCTGCCGAATTCCTGCAGCACGCAAAAACTCATGGCTGTCATATTGCCGGGAAGCGCGTAAGAAAGCCTATTGAAGCCCTTGCACGTGTACCTGTATTTGACCATTCTTCACTTTCGTAGGTCGAGGTCTCATGGAATGACCGGCAATTCTACCTTCCCCCATACGTCGGATCGAAGATCAGGAACGGCGCAACTCGGAATCTAGTAATCCACAATGTGAATGCAAATATCACCGAATCACTTATCCGGAGGGACCTTGAGCATATCCACAACCTGATTGTGATCACTGTGAAATTCAAGCAAGGCAATGCATACATCTCCACCAACTCCGTTCACAATACACTATTTGCTCGGTCCTGCATGATGTCTCGAGGCACTTACAAGGGTATGCGCATTGGGTTTTACCCTGACGAATGCGCTGGGCTACTCTCCGAGCTTCCCTCTGGCCCAAAAAGAGAAGTACAACCAGCTTCAAAGAAGTCATTGTCAGCTTCAAATCGGTTTCAACTTCTTTCCCTTGATGGGTCCGGAGACGATGATGTTGAAAACCACGAGAGTCTACCTGGCGCATTGGGCACCCAGTGTTTGAATGGTAGCATTAACATTGCGGAGAGTAGAGTCTCAGCCTAACCTTGGTGGCTGATCTGGCATGGTTGTTCCGAAGACAGATGCATGCTCAAATGGCAAAGTGCGTTCATCTCTCCCTTGCGTTTCCCTTTGATAATTTTGCCTTGCATGAGACAATCTCGAATAATTCTAAATATCTTGACTGAGGGAAGTTGGTACGGCAGGTGAAGCTTCTTCCAATTGGTCTCGTGCATATCTAGTGAATGCGGATGCGGAACTTTCTTAGCGATGCAGGGACGCGCAGCACTGTTAGAGCAAGACCGCCTCTGGTAGGCAGATGTCATCCATTGCCAAATGCTAAGCGTCCATAGGATATGGGTTTTGTCGCGTCCTTCAGCGTCGGATGCTTTTCTACAGATGTATGTGACGGGAGGTTCCCGATTCAACATATACTGCGAGGCAAGTGCAATAATTTCTAGCAAATTGTAGAATTAGGTCATCAACGACATAGGCAGAATGGTGTTTGAATTTCCGCGTCTTGTAAAGGTAGAAAGTCATCAAAACAACTGCGCTTTTCCCGAGTCAGTCATGGTCACAGTATATCCGAAAATTGCATTCCTTTTTTGGTCCAGACCATACAGTTAGAAAGATGACCCAAACAGATACCGCAGGATAACATCCGCAACGCTCATCCCTGTTTTAAGGGCAGATGGATGACAAACAAGAAAAATGGGTAATATTTCAGATTCCTGGCCTATACTAAATCCATCCGAGACAGAGCCAGTAACCCATTCCACTGCCACAACCAAATTCGAACCTTCTTCGATTGCCCAGTGGGATTGCACCATGATCTCCTCCCCAGTACACCATGAGAGAAACACAACACCATTCTGCGCTTTTTTCGTGGCTTTTTGTTTGAGCGGGGTCGTTTAACGGTAGGATTTCTGGTACCTGGCACGGGCACCGCGACCACCGAACTTCTTGGGCTCCGTACGACGGTTGTCGGCGACGAGCAGTGTGCGGTCGTACTGAACAAAAGCCTGCTTCAGCTGGTTCTTGGAGTGCTCATCGACATACTTCTGGTAGTAGGCGACGATGGACTTGGCGATGGCCTGGCGGATGGCGTAGATCTGGGAGGTGTGACCACCACCGGAGACACGGACACGGATGTCGACACCGGCGAACTTGTCAGCGCCGACGATCAGGAGAGGCTCGTAGACCTATTTGCATTGTCGTCAGAATCTCTGTTCTTCCTTTCTGTCTTCTTTCCTTCGCATCTATGGGACGCTTTCGGTTGGGTTTTGTAAGTCGTACCTTGAAGCGGAGGATCTCAGGCTGGACCAGGCCGAGAGGCTGGCCGTTGACCTTGATCAGACCCTTGCCTTGCTGTTGATAACACAATTCTCAGCATTTGTTCTGTTGTTTGTTTCCATGCGAAAGCAAAAGCGAATCCCCGTTTTTGTCCTCTCCAGTCAACCCTTCTCTTTCATGTCCCGGAATCCATCTCGATAAATCACGCAGTTTGCCAATTGGGGCGACATCATAGGGAAAAAAATTCTCCTCATACCTTGCAGTGGGCGACAGCGGTGGCTATACAGATAATTCCAAGTTAGTGATCCCGTTCTTCATCTCCGCGTTCCTGTGGCCCTTTAAGAAAAACTTACCCGTCTTCTTCTTGCCGAAGCATTGCACACTCGGGACGGAAGCCATGATGTGTAGAATGGCCCTTGTCGGTGTCGAGAAGGAGTGTGCCGGAGGGTGGGTTCGAAGGGGGGTTGGAAAGTTGTCGTCGTCGCAGGGCTATATTTCTCGCGGCGTTCGATTCGAGATGGGCAGAATCCGTGCGGACAAACTCGCTTAGTGCGCCGCGCTAGTGCCGTTCTAGGGCTTGTCGGGGGCTGTGATCACGTGACAATTGAGCCTGCGGGAGTCGGCGATGGAGTTTGGAGTTTGGACGTAGGGGAGCGGACTCAGCGGAGGTTTTTCCGGAAGTTTGGACTTTGGAACTTGGGAATCAGAATTCCGGGGTTTTCCTTATAATAATTCAGTCTTGATTGTTCAATCAATTGTTCTGATTTCGACTTTCACCCCAGTCTATCCTCATTGATCCTCATTGAGGAGAGCAGTTCAAGATGTCGCAAACTATCGGAAAGGTGCGATATCCGTTCTGTTTTGCAGCTCCATTTGTGCCATCTTGTCTAACATCTATATGTATAGACACGTCTCGCCTACTCTCGTACATGGCACTATGTCGACGTCGGCTCTGACCCGCGCTCCCTCGGCCGCCTGGCTTCCTCCATCGCCCTGTTCCTCATGGGAAAGCACAAGCCCATCTACGACCCTTCGACAGACTGCGGAGACTACGTCGTCGCGGTAGGCTGCAGCGACCTGCGGACGACGGGAAAGAAGCGCTTCCAGAAGAAGTACTACACGCACACCACGCGGCCCGGTAGCCTGCGAAGCATGACCATGGACCAGATGTTCGAGAAATGGGGCGGTGGTGAGGTTCTGCGGAGGGCCGTCCGGGGGATGTTGCCCAAGAACCGGCTTCGGGATAAGAGGTTGGCTCGTTTGAAGAGTGAGTCTTTTGGGTCTTTGCTGTTTGATTTGAGCTTCTCTTGCTGACTTGAACAGCCTTCGAGGGTCTGGCTCATCCTTACAAAGAGAATATCGTGAAGTTCGGCAACAAGTCGGTTATTGGCAGTTTGCCGGAGGTGCAGCAAGCTTTCAAGAAGCCTGAGGCTGAGGCTGAGGTCAAGCAGTCTGCGTGAACGGTGCTTGGTCAAGGGGGACGAAATCGAACAAAAGCGAGTTATTCTCCCGCTCGGATAGGTCGCCATCTGCTTCTGTAACTCTATATTTTCTGTGCTATTTCAGGACCGATTTTACTAGCGCATGGGTGGGAGTTTTGTGACTTATTGTTTTTTTCATTCTCAGTTTTTCTCTATTCAATCATTCCCAACAGTTTCCTCCTTTGCAGCGGGATTCAGTCGTCTACATGTTCGGTGCTTCTGTACTATACGCAAGTTAAAGATGGATGATTGCTAGATGAAATACCCTATTCCCAGAGACTATGTACAGTTATGCCTTGGCTAACTCCCGTGACAAATCATGAAATGCAATCCGTTGACTGAGACACCCTCACAGCTTAGATTTGGATGATCGGCCCACGGTGCACTTGATCAATCCGTTGGGATTTGTCTGCGGCGCGTACACCTCGGCATCCTTGCCGAGGTTCTTGAGGCCCTTGTGCCAGCTGAGGTCTGCAGAACCAAAGAGTTAGCCATGGGAACCCAAGGAAGAGGAGGCATCGTCAGTACTCACCAACTTCAAAGTAGTGCTTGTTAGGCAGGGAGTACTCGACAGTCTCGATGAAGGGCTCGACCGCCAGGATCTGCTCGGACATCTTGTACATGGTAGCCTGCACACTGGCACTGTTGTCCTGGGCAAAAGTCTTGAGGGTGATCTCCCGCGCCGCTGACCAGGCGGCATCAAACTTGGGGATGTTGGCGCGGACCTCGGCGAGGTCGCTGAAGCGCTTCCACTGCCACGAGGCATCGACATCCGTGCTCAGGATACGATCCCACGTCTCCTTGAGGGTGGTGTACTCGTCACGCAGGAACCCGTGGAACTGCGAGCCGGTGCTCTTGAGCACGGTGAGGTTAGAGATGGATGACTTGATGTCGATGCCGGCGCCCTCGGTCACGTCCACCTGGACGTTGCGGGTTTCCTCGCTGTCGCGGACGAAGGAGTGAGGGTGTGGCTTGCCGTCAATGTTCATGCGCGTCCAGCGGTGGGTGATGATGTGAGCGTGCGCAGCGTGGATGTGTTTGTATTTCTGGATGAAGTGGGTGCCCAGAATGGAGCCGAAGAGCTCTGGGGGAGTGACCGGGTGCTGCTTGGCGAGGATGTAGATGGTGTTCTTGATCGAGTCAGTAGCGACAATGACGCTGTTGTCGGCCTTAGTGTAGCTGTCGTAGATCTCCGGTTAGTACCTTTTGTCCGACTCTGTGCTCTAGACTCCGACTCACGAAGTCTCAATCTCTCCCTCCAACAGCACACAGACGGTCATCTCCACCACCGTCTGCACACCGGTCTTCTCGTCCCGGTGGACCTTGTAGACACGGACATTGTCCTTTCCGTAGCGAGCAGCAGTGACAGGGGCCGGCATTTTGATCAGTGAATGAGCTGAGTAGCTGTAGTTGTCTAGAAAGAAGTGTAGTCGGAGAGTCGGGGTAAATAGTCCTGCGGGGAAGCTCAAGAACGATAAGGAAATTGGGGGTAATGATCAAGCCAAAGCTCACAATCTAACAATCCGGGTGAAGGAGGAAGGAAAGCTTGGTAGTACAATGCAAGCAGGAGACCCAAGAGCTTTTAAATCCGGTCACAAAGGGACAACCGCGAAAAAACCCTCGCATGATGGTTGCTGGCTGTCCATGTCGGCCACCTCCGATAGCCGCGCATTTGGACGGCTGCGGCCATCCTCCTTACTGTTGTCCGCCGTTTATCTTATCGCGCGGTTTGTGGCATTCGGAAGTCCTGATATCTGGTGGTATTTAAGGCTGACGACTCTCTGCAATCCATCGCATGATGCGATTATAGATAAAAACCACCGAATTATGAGGGTAATCAGGATGCTCCTTGAATGACTGAGGTATACCTAGGGCGACCTGTCAGCATGGAGTCAAGATGCCAGCCACTGGACAAACGAACTGGGCTGTTGATCAGTTCTCGTCATGGAAAACCTTAGTTTTGCGATGATGGTATATTGCCCATACTTTCTTGCTCTATAAATCTGGAATACGAGAGCCCTACTTGGCCTTTTCAGGAGTCTCTCTGGAGTGTGTGGAGTGACCATAGAGAATGACAGTGAGGAATGCAGGGAAAATTCCTGGACATACCAACGTGTTGATAGTCGGGTATCATGATCGTTGGCTATACATTAGCAGAGATAGTCTCAGAGTATCTGAGAAGCTGCGTGTTAGCTTTTGCCCAGGAAAACACAGCATTGCTTTAGCTCAATGAACTTGAAGCAATTATCTAGCGCAACTCGTCATTCTCAT